TCGACCATTTCTGGCCGGCAACTTTCAGCGTCATTAAGCCGCTGCGCCACCGCATCCCCTCGTTATGTTTTACTTTCAGTAAATACATATAGGAGGCAAGAAGGGGGGTGGGCAGGGAGAAAACTAGAATTGTTCTCAGTTTAGTATCTAGAAAAACTGTTTTAGAGTTCCTTTTTGAGTCAATGGGACAGTTTTTCTCTGAAGCTGCAGGAACCATTTTTGCTCTGATCAGTCTAGCAAAGGTAAGTGAAAAGGATTGCCATTTCTCCATGATTACTTAGAGTAAATAATGGAGGTATAGTCACATGTTATACAATAGGCGTGACATGCTGTTTGACCTAAGCGTGTACTTTGAAATAAATTCATGCCTCCCATTCAAGCAAGCTTTATATTAAATCATATAGGTTCTTGGGGGAGAAGTGTCTATGGAATGCCTATTCAGATTTAGTAGTGTATGCAATCTGATCGTTTGAATCTTGCCGTGCTGCAGATTAGTGGAACAGTATAAAGGCAATACTGAAAGGGTGTGAAACAAATAAGGCCATTATCTGTTCTCCACTGCCTCAAAATGCAGGACAAAGCAATGATTTTAAGTTAAGTCTCGTTGACCGTACAGTCTCATTGACTTACTATCTCATTGACCTCTCTAGCTTTAAGAACAGCAAACAGTGGAATCAATTAACTAGAGCAGTGTTCCTCAACCTTGGCAGCTTTAAGATGTGTAGACTTCAACTTTCAGAATCCCCCAGCCAGCCATGCTGGCTGCGGAATTCTGGGAGTTGAAGTCCATACATCTTAAAGTTGCCAAGGTTGAGAAACATTGCCCTAGGGAGATGGTGACTACCTATCACTGGCTGTGTTCAAGCAGAGATTGGAAGAATCTGCCAGGCAGGGATGTCCACAGTGACAGCTGCTGGGTTCAAAATGACAGGTGCAACCAGGCAATCAAAGCCCCATTCCTTTCATGAGTTTGTGATGCTTGCAACACCTATTTAAAAGGGGGCAGGGCTTTGATTGCCCAGTCATGTCTACCATTATGAACCCAGTGATCATTGCTGAAGATGATTTAGATTCTTGCACTGAGCAGGGGATTAGATAGCCTAAATGGCCCCTCTCAATTCTATGAGTTTAATTATGGGTCTTTATAATTTCTTTAGCCCTTATAGGAGTAATGTTAGGAGCAGTTTCACAATAAAACCAAATACTGTATCCAGGTAGTTGGTGGCTCCCTTTCACTGGATTATTTGAGTAAAGCCTGGACAGCTACAGTATCTGTTGGGGAATGCTTTAATCTATATTTCTACAAAGAGCAGGGGGTGACAGCTAATGGCCTAACTCTATGATTCTATACTCTGTGGCATTTGGGAGAAGGTACATTTTTTACTAATTATCATGGTGGCTCTATTGGTCTACTTTAAATTGAGGATGACTCTTGAGCAAAACTGAATTGTTTGCTAATGATTTTGTATTTAAATGTATCAGAGCAATACATGTAATGGAATCACTGGGGGCTATTACTGAGAATGGTCTGCCCTTATACTACTTAACATATGTCTCAATCTCATGTAAAAGTATCTCTGAGGTTGGCTGTTTAAGATAGCTTAAACAGAGTTCTGAAGTTGGCTATTGGTCTGCTGCCATCTTCCTACCAATTGGTCGTATAATTCTCCACAAAGCCTGGAAAATGCAGAGGAATAGTTTCATCAGCCTTCCCAATCTGGTGCTTTGTGTTAACTACGATTTCCTGAATTCCAATGATTGAGTTGGCTAGAAATTTGGGAAATTCTGATCCAAACTATACATCTGGAGGGTATCAGGGTGAGGAAGTCTGGCCTAAGCAGACTTTATTAATGGCTTTATTATAACAACTGTAGCATCAAGCAGTAATTTAAACTAAAATTTTCAAGATCTTCCATTGCTATGGTTAAAAGAGAGAAGCTGAATAACACTTGGATTGCAACTGCTTCAGATTCTAATATGCTAGTGCTGCTTGGAAAACAGAGTGGACTTCCAAACACTTAACAATACCCCTGTGGAACTCCTCAAAATAGTGCAGGAAGTCTGCCAGTGCCAATGTGTATAGTGGTGTTGACATGAGCATGGCCAGGTCAAGGTGAATATCCGTGCTCAGTTGTTCTTGAGTCTTTTCTGCCAGGTTCTTTCTGATTAGTTTTCCCACGCTCACATGTGACTATCCATGAAAATAAAGATGGTGGTATCATGCTCTTTAATTTCCAATTTACAGTGTGCACAGTTGGACACTGTACAGATCTAAGAATTTAGAAGTGACGTACTTGGCAATTTTATCCCATAGGCTCTGTTAGTAAGAGTGGCTTCCTGGACTATGTTATGAGGTTTTAGCTCTATGAGCCAAGTCCTTCTGGACATCTTACATAGCATCCATACTGTTCCTGGAACACTTGGACTAGATGCTCTTTCAATGCCATCTTCCCTCTCCCCATCAACCTTAAAATGGCCTCCTTCTTCCCAGAAACAGTGAGGTCATCAGATAGGCCATCAGGGTAGAGCAAAGATGACAAATCTTCTCTATCTGAAGGGTCACATTCCTTCAGCAATGACATATTGATGACCACATGCCAACAGTCAGAAAGAGGAGTCAGATGCAGGTTAGGATATACAGACAAAGCAAACCCCTGAGACAACCTTTATCTGAACCTTATGAAAGTTCAGCTGTAGGAAGTAAGATGAAAAGAGCTCATACTATTCTGTTATTAGTCAAATCACAGCAAAGATTGCACAAAATATCCATAATTTAATTCCTCATTGCTTGACTCTTCAGCCATTACTGTTATTCAGTATGGCAAACGGAGAAACGTTCTCTCCTCCCTCTCTTACACACAGTTTTACATGTGAATCAGATACTCTCCAATGTGAATGCAGTACTTGAGTTCTTTTGCCTTAAAGGAGTTTTATTATACATGCGTAATTCAGTTCTTTTGCCTTAAAGAAATGCGTATTTCAGTGCATGTCAGAAGATTGGGCAATTTGCTGGGTACATCCTATATAGCCTTTTGTGATTCTTGCCATTGTTTCTGATTATTCCCTTGCATCAAATTTGTTTTTATATGCCGGATTTATATTTTAGTTTTTCTTATGGCAGAGCCCCAAGGTCCAGTAGGGCCACTAGTTCAAAGACAAGACTGACATTGGGAAGATGAACACTTATAGAAAGTTCAGCTAACTTGCCTCATTCATCCTGCCTTGCAAAGAGGTCTGTGGGTTGCCACCACCTATAATGTATTTGCTAAAGGTTGGAATCAGCAGTGTTGCTCATGGCTTTAGCCCATCAAAAACCTCTCTGAAGGTAGATAGCAGTCGCTACTTTGCTGTTTAATTTCCCATAGTTTGAACCAGCTTCTTAGACAGCTCTCCATTTCTGAATGGATAAATGAGTAGGAACTGATGCTGGATTACAGTCGGGTATACCGTATAGGCCTATTTGCTCAATGTTAGTTCCTGAAGCTGCTTTTTCCCGAGAGGTTTCAGCCAGAAGATAATTTGTCCTGGATATCTTCCAGTAGTGCAGATGTAACTCTTGGGCTGCACACGTCAAGCTAAGCTTGGTGCTCGCCTTTCATAATGCTTATTTCAGCCACCACAGTTTGGAAAAGTGACAGGAAAGGAAATGTAGGCCAAGCTGTTTACTGGAGAGGCTCTGATGGGACAACAGTTTTCAAACAGGCAGTGAAAAAGGGTAAAATCCCACTGTGCTTTTTAATGAGAGATTCATATCAAATTACTGCATTGATGGTTGATCTTGGAACAACAAAGGAGACTTATTAATATTATTCTGTTAATTAAGTATTGTATTAAGCGGAATATCATAATGTGGAGTACCCTTCATTTAGGATACCAACTGCCCCAATTTTGTTTCCTTTCCCCACTTCTGACTTCTTTCTTCTCCCATCTTATCTTCAGATACCATTGTCTCGAAGTATGTTAATTTTTTACTGACCAGTTTTGGAGGATTCTCCCTTTCCTGCACTTAATTTTTATGTTGTTTCATCTCATTGAGTCTTCTTTTGATAATCCTACAAGAGCTACCATGTAGGATTCTTCCGTGTGTGCTGGTCTACTCCTGTTTTTCAGTGAGCTGGGCAGGTGCCATATTACATAATAAATTTGCATTTGGATATGAGCCCAATATCTGAGGATATTTTGAGAAGAATTTCCTCAATTGATTATGAATTGGCCTATTTATTCACTAATTCTTTCAGCATTAATTTGCTTTGTAAGTTAGTACTATAAACACTGCGGGAACAAAGACTGCTGATCCCCATTTGTATCACATTCAAGATTCCCTCACTGAAATGTGGACTAGTTCCCACAATTTCAGCATCGTTTGCCTTCGGGGTATGTTACTGGCAAAGGATTTTGCACCAATGAATGTACTGTTTCAGAGGAGAGATGGGATTTATTTATAGTTTAGGTTTTGCTGAGTTACTGTAACATCCTCAGCACTTGGACCTATACTAAATGTCAATTATCTAATTTTAGATCCTTATGTTCATGCTGTACGCAGACATTGAACAACACAGTTCTTCCACCAACATGCCTAACGTGGGTAGTAAGTGTGTGGATGAGCATATGAAGAATTTACTTTGCATGAAAATAGTTGATTTAGCATTCGGAATAATCCTCAAATCTTTGCGGTCTGAAGAAAACATTTTCTGAAGAACCTCACAGATTATGGTGGGTGGATGTTTATAGAAGGTCCGCTGCATAATTTTTCTCTGGTGCATTTAATTTTTTTTCCATTTAGAATAATCATTTGCCATATAAATCAGAAATCAGATATGTGTGCATTCCATTATGTCACAAGGAAAGAGTTGGCATTCCAGAAGTTCATTAATAGGTTTGGCTCAAACCCTAGATAACTCAAATGCCCTGTATTGTTGCAAGGAAATGGCCTTGCCTAGGCTAGCCATGTTGAGATAGTTGGATTACAGTAACTGAGTATTCTGCATGGAATGATGGAAACTGTAGTTAGATTTTTGTGTGTATGTGCTATACATGCATATAAATGTATGCATACATAAAATTTACAAGGGCTTCCAAAATTGTTTTTGAAAACAGACTCCAGTCAAACGTCTGCACAGAAGGAGAAAAATGTTTGCAAAGAAGTGCCTGAAAAATAATAGTACTGAAAACTGCCTACAAAAAACATATATTATTCAAAGTTAGAAACAAAATAGCATATGCTGGGTGTTTGCTTTTTATTTATATAATAGCCATATAAGGGAAAAAACCCTGACATTTGGGAAAGTTATATGAAAAATAAAGCATGCATCAAGAAAATGTATGTAAGGTGTCTTATGGACATTAATCTTCAATATATATTTATATTTTGGGGAAAGTTGCATATGAAAGTTCAGCATATTAGGGAAAATGTGAATGACCAATGATATGGATTTGATTTATGGGACTGGAAAAAAAAAATCCCTCATCCCATCCCATCCCATCCCATCCCATCCCATCCCATCCCATCCCATCCCATCCCATCCCTTGCTTAGTGGACAGGAATGCTGCAAAATTACTGCTTCATAAATTAATAGTCCAATTGATCCCAAGGACACCAGGAAGGCACTGAGTTGGGGAGGACTAGATTAAATAGCAATACTGTGTTCATGGAAGTAAGAAATTTAATCATACTTACGTCTACTTTTGTTTTCAGTTACTTCGTAATATCAAATACTGTATGGATGCTTAATAAGCTGCTGTTTCTCTCTTCTCTTTCAGGCCCAGCTGCTGATTGAAATTACTTGGCCATTGTTTATCTTCTTTATTCTGATGTCTGTGCGACTGACTTATCCACCTTATGAACAACATGAATGTAAGTTAAAAAATGCCTGTGTTCTTGGGCTTCAGCTTTGGTGAAGGTGAAGTAAGAAAGAGAGAGGCAGATTGCATAAGGAGTCAGCTATCTCCAGCTTAGAAGGATAGAAGATAGCATGGCTGAGGAAGATTTGGGGGAGCCATCAGAGTGGTCTACACTTGATCTTCAGCTAGTTAGGATTGTTCCTTCAGTTTTGTATGTGGCCGTAACAGATCAAGTCACAGTTTTTATTGCAATTCATTTCTCTTCTCAAAAAATGCTGTTGCTAAAGTAGGGATTTGCCTCCAGTTTGACCACTGCTGTGAAGATAGAAGCTCTTGCTAACATAACCCTGAAGGTTTCCTTATCGCCCAGTGCTTAGTACAATGTGTATGAAACATCCCATTCAGTTCCTGTGATAATTCTTTATAGCAGTGGTTCTCAAACATTTTGGTCTCAGGACCCCTTTACATTCTT